CCCCCCCCCCCCGTTTCTTCTGGCCCACCTCATCGTTCGCTCTCTTTCTTTGCGCTCGTGCTCCGGTCGGCCCCTCCTCTCGCCGACCCCTTGCTGGCTCCTCTCTTCCTCCGTCCTCAGTCTTGTCGTTGGTGGAGACGCCCGCGTGGTGCACTACGAACGGCAGGTGCTTCTGGAGCTGCTACCCGGACTTCTCGAGGAACTACCACATGTCCCAGGTCACCGCCACGCTGATCGAGGGACTGTTGCTTGTGGTGCTCTCGGTCATCGCTCTCGTGGATGTGGTGAGGCTAGCGGCTTCCCTCCGCGCGGCGTTTTTTTTTTGTTCGTCTTCGACGGCGTTGCTGCTGTTCTTCCTGCTGCTGCTGCTGCTGCTGCTGCTGCTGCTGCAGTACTGTTCGTCATCGACATCGACGTCGTGGTACTTTGGTTGCCGTATTGAGGAGACTCCCCACCCCCCCTTCAACCCGCCATGCGGCCTCGTAACGATGGCCACACGTACGTGCTATGTGCTCACAGCAGGAAGTGAAAATATTTGTTGTGTTGGGACTACAGTATCAACAGTCTCGCGGGATTTGTGTCTCGGTCTTGCCAGTACTACCGGTGGGCCGGTTGTCATTGTTGAATGGCGGGTGGGTGGGCATGCCAGTACGCTTCACCAGCGGGTCGATGGCTGGCTAAGCTCTCCTTGTTTTCTCTACGCGCTTATTTTGTGTCCGCGCCGCTGCATAGCTCTGTAAGGGGATGCACACTCGACGCTTGATTGATTTTTCTCGTGTAGCGCCTCGAAAACGCAACCCTGCTGACCTATCACAATGACAACGCAGTGCGTGTAAGCCTTCTCCGGCGCCACGCCAACGATCCAAGCCCACTTCGAATGCAATCTTTTGACGTTGACTTTTGTTTTTTCTCCCACCCGGGCATCCAGCGATACATGAGTGTGCGCCTTCCCTCCCGTCCACGTCCCTCCATCTCTTTCGCGCCGACTTTGCCGCTCCCAGAAAACGTGCGGGCGCGACTACTGGGTGGGCTCCCGAAGCGGCCGGTACCAGTCGATGTGGTGCAAGCACGGGACCATCGCGTCGTACGCGGCGCTCTTCCTCCTGGCGGTGCTGGTGGACTACCGCGCACACCTGGTGTGCGAGTTCTGCCGCATCCTCCTCTACCTGGCGATGCACCGGCGAACCGTGTTGGTGGTCATACAGCTCAGGTTTGTGGAGCGAGTGTTTTGTGTGTGGTTTTTTATCGACCGCGCTAACCGGCTGACCTAAAACGAGACGTCCAGGTCTCAGCGCGGTTTCAAAACACCAAATGCTTCTGGAGGCCGTGATCTGGGGGAGGCTATGCTGTTTGTGTGTATGTGATTTTGCATCGACCCGCACCTGCCGGCTAGCCCACGAAAATAGTTCGTGAGGCTTGTGTATGCCGGGACAAACGACGCGAACAAGCTTTGTGGTCGAAAGGTTTTACCGACAGAGGGGACTTTTGTGTGTGTGTGTGTGTGTGTGCAGACTTTTGCCGTCACCGCGCTAGCCAGCTGACCATTGAAAAATCGTCAGTCCCATTGCGGCTAGGAACGGAAGACGCTTTTTGAGACATCGTGAGCGGAGTCATGTGCGAAGCTGCGTGTGTATGCGTGGGTTTTATTGTTTATGCTTCATTTGTTGGCGTCGCCGCGCTGCCGATGAAGAACCGTCGATGTCAGCGGGAAGAACATGAGTCAAGGTCCCCGGGAGGTCGAGGCAACAATCTAAATGCGGCGTCGCCCAGAATGCCACAAGGAAACTTTCCAGAGGTGTCTTCGGGCGGGAACCGCATTTTTTTTTTTTCTCCCATCATTGGACTCTGTCGTCTGCCCTTCTGGCCCCTATCCTCCACTTCTACTAGCTAGACGACCCAACCGGGGTCACATAGGAGGGTGTGTGTGTGTGATTGTACGCTTCTTTTCTCGGCAATGCGGAGAAGAGAAGCACAGAAGCACACACACACGTTTTGCTTTCCCTCGTGAAGGTATTTGTGGAACGGATTTCTTGTGGCGTTTAGAGCGATTTCCGGTTTTAGATTGTTGCCCCCCCCCTCGTCCGGGGACCGTGACTGGTGTTTACCCGCTGACGATGACACTGCGTATTTTCACCATGCTATAGGGCTGGCCAATGGAAACGTCGCTCTCGGGGTGTAGATGTGTGCTTGCGTTGTTCACGGCTGCGTGCACTGGTCTGTTTCTGTACCTTCCATTGAGAAAACCTTGGCCTCAACTAGCCGTTGTCCGGCGTCTCCTGACAATGTCACGCCCGCTCCTGCTGTGTGCTAAACCGCCCGATCAATCGTGGTCGACCTCCCCCCTCACACACAACAAAAAAGACATATCCTGGGCGCTGTGGCGGAGATATGGGTGCTGATCCTGTTCAACATCGGGCTGTTCGCTTGGGTGGGCGTGATCCTCTTCTCTGGGACGGAGGAAGGGGGCGAGCAGTTCTCGGACCTGTGCGAGGCAAGCTGGCGCCTCTTCATCCTCTTCACCACCACCAACTTCCCGACAATCATGTGAGAGATGGAGAGTTTTTGTGTTTTCGTGCAGTTGGCCTTTCAAGAATTCTGCGCTCTTCCTGGGCGCACTTTCCCCGGCTCGTTTGTTTTTCCCCCTACATTGCTGAGCGTTCTTGGTTCCTCGGTCCGCAATTTGTGTGATTGTTTTGCGGTGCCAAGGTCGTTTTTTTTTGGCTGTTTCGGTCGGACCTTTCGGTGCTTGTTGTTTTGTTCCGGGCCGGCCGTTTTTTTTGCGGAATATGCGTTGGTGGTGGTACCGTGGTCTAACGTTGTTGTTGTTGTTGCTGCTGCTGCTGCTGCTGCTGCTGCTGCTGCTGCTGTGGTGTTTTTTGGCGTCCTTCCGCCCCACCGTGTGGGGTTTTCCTCCTCTCCTCTTGGCGCTTGTGTCTTTCAGGATGACGGCGCTCGACCAGGTTCGGGCGACGATCGTCTTCTTCGCATTCTTCGTGATCCTCAACGTCTTTTTCCTGGCGCCGCTGTCTCTGGCGTTCATCTTCAACGTGTTCCGCGGGGGTCAGTCCGGCATCCCGCAGATGGAAGAGGAGATACGCCTCAGGAGTACCGCGGCGGCCTTCACGTGCGTACTTGTCGCGTCGAGAGTGTTTTTTTGTTGTGCGAAGCGTTGTGCTTTGTTTTGTTTGCTTGTTAAGCAACGTCTTGTGTTTTCGTTTGTCAGTTTGTTGATTACGTTTATCAAGCTGTTGATGATTTGTTGTTGGCGTGTTTTTTTTTTGTGTGTGTGGTGGGTGTAGATTGTGTTTGATTTGTCGCTGGTTGGGCGAGTGCTTTGTTGTTTTGTCTCAGCTGGTGCAAGTTGGTTGCTTCGACATGCAAACCGTGGCCACGAAACCCTTGCAACGCTGAAGAGTTAGTTGCAAACCGCCCCATCGCGGTCCCCATCAACTTAGGACTGGATGTCCCGCGTGCGGTGGTGCCGAAAGTAAGTGCGTCATTATTCATTCGTCTTCTAGTGAAATGATTTGATTGCAAACGGCCAGTTCATCTGTTCAAACGTCGTCAGTGACTGAGAACCGACTTAAATAGAAGCATTTCTTTTTTCCTTCTTTCGGTGACTTGTGTGGGAGGCAAACCGTGCTTGTGATCATGGCACGCCGAGATATCGCAAACGAATGATTCCCATGCCATGTCTTGTGCTGCCGCTGCACCAGCCTCCTGGACGACCGACAGTCTGGACAAGTCTCGAGCGCTAACATGGGTGCCTTCCTGCTGGAGCTCCACTCCATGCGAGGCGTCGCCAGCCGCGAGCTGTCAAGGCTGCAAGAGCTCATCGACGAGGCCGGTGCAAGGACGCCGGAAGAGGCCCCGTCCCTCACCCTACAAGACTTCCAGGTATGTACAGTACCAGCACACAGCTGCTGCACACATATGGGCCTCTGACTGGCTGGGTAGAGTGCATTCGTTTTGGCATCGTGTTATGTTGCCGTTTTGACAGACACAGGTCTATGTGTTTTGTCTCTTGCAGTGTGGCGTATTTTGTGATTGTTTTTGTTGTGGGAAACGGTGCGGAATGCAGTGTCATGAGTCAACCCGCGTCGTGTGAGTGATCGTGTTGCTTTCTTGGTTAGACTGCGCCATACATTTTTTTTAGCGTTCAAGTCTTGGGATAAGGAAACCATGTGTCCCTCTGACGTACGGTATGCAGAGAATGGGCGCATACCGTTTGACACGGGAACTACTCTCCTGCAGTAACCGTGGTTCGCTTCGACAACCATTGCCCTTGGAATTTATAGGTACTTCGTGTATCCGAAGCCGCTTCTCTGTTTTAGTCGTTGCATGCAATTCACACCGGATAAACTATAGTTTTTGTTTTCTTTTCAACCCTCGTCCCCGCGTTGGAAGGACGCCGTTGGTGTGATGGAGCGCTCTCGGGAGCACGCGGAGTGGATCACTGAGATTCAGTGGTACTACCCTCAGCTATACCAGTCCCACGGCTTCCGCCGGCTGACGAGGATCGTCAAGCACAAGCGGGTGACTTTGTGGCCGGGCTTCTGCGGGACTCGTCAGTTTTCGGTGAGCTAGCTTACTGTAGTTCTCAATACGTTTTTTTTTTCACTTTTTTCATTCTGCCACTGTGGGTGTGTGTCCTTGAAATTTTGTTATCTGCGCACTTGCAAAAAATGGTACCGCAAGTTTTTTTTTCTGTGGTCATGGTGCGCACAATTGCAGGATCTTGCTTCATGCGCCAAGTAGTGACTCACGGCAAGTGCTGCTGTGTAACGATCACCTCGGTGCCATCGTTCGTCGGCCTTACGGTGCTTGCGACCATTTTTCGTGCTGCGCTCAAAGCAAGTTCTTGTTAGGCGTTACACGGACACGTGTTGTTGATGGTGTCTTGATTGAAATAGAAAGGGACGCCTCTGGTCTCTTTGTGTGTCTTGACGTTTGCGTGCGCTCTGCTGTATCTGTCGTAGATAGTGCCACTGGTGGCAAAATCCCGAGCTACAACATGATGCCCATGTCGACGTTTGTTGCCAGCGGGTGGATGTGTGTGGTCGACTCACCGGTATCCTTTACTCGTGGTCATGTACCGGGTGCCGGGTAATCCCGAAGGACGCCGCCTGCAGGAGACCACCCCCCTAGAACCCTGCCCCCGTGGGCTGCAGACCCCCACTTGCCGTAATATTTGGAAGCCCTCTTGCCTCTCTCATCTGGTGTCCCCATCCGACTCATTTTTTTTTTGTTTGAATCAGATGCTGGTGATCGACGCGGTCGACACGTTTGTTCTGGCGATATCGTTCGTGGCTTTGTGCCTCGCCAAGTCTTTTTCAGCGTGGGATTACGATTCAGAGCGGTACGACTGGGTGCAGGTAAGCACGCGGTCCAAGAGGAAGATAATCGAAATGCGCTCCCACGTGATCGTGAACGTGTGATTGAGTGATCTAGTGACGCATTATTTATGACGCGAATTTGACGAATGAAGCAGCAATCCCGATCGTGCTGTCTACGTTAGGGTGGGAAAGTCTAGTGAAGGAGCGTGAGGTGGATGGAAGGATGTGATGAAGTCGAGTGAGCGAGTGAAGAATTACTCGACAAGATTATGAACGAACGAACCACCGAAGTGATGTACGTACGGAAGGGAGTGAATTGGAATGGTGTGACAAAGTCCAGTAAACAAGTGAAGAATGTCACAACAAGCCAAGGAACGGACGAACCACTGAAAACCCCTGCTGTGTACGGATGTACGTACGGGTGGAAGTGGATGGAAGGATGCGAGAACGTCGAGTATGGGAGTGAAATACGGGAAATGCGAGTGAGTGAATGAACCACCAAGCCGGACCGTTTGATATGCATAATAGGGATGGAAGGATGCGAAAGACTGTATTCGAATCAATCTAAGGACATCCCAAACCATCATGCAGGTCTGGTCCACCTGCTCCACGCAGCACCACCGGTACTCAGGCCGCGGATCCGTGCCGCCGGCGTAGTTTTTTTTTTTTATGTGTCGTCGGAGCACCCAATTCCGGCCTCGAGGAAATGTTCCAAGCCGACGTGGTCGAAGGAATGGTGCCGATCCTGGCAAGGGCAAAGTGATCGCGCGACTATAACCAACTCTCAAACTTCATTCATTCACCGTGTGATTTTTTGCGCTAGTGTGCAGAACGGAGGAAATCGGCCATTTTGTACGTGGTGCGCGTAATCTTGTCGTGCGCGCGCCTATGTATGTATGCGTGATGAAAACCGTGTGCTTCCATCCATTCACTCGCGTGGCATCAAACGGATATTGTGGTCCAATGACAAGACGTCGGACGTGCACAGGCCGGATAAACAAGCGGAAGACCCCTTTCCTAAAACTGTGTCCTGCCTGTTCGTGCATGCGTTTTCGTGCTGGCGTCGTCATGCATGACTTGGGGATGCCGGCAGATCAGCGTCGTGGCGAGCTTTTGCGTGACCGTCGGGCTACGTGCGGCGGCGAGGGGGTGGTACAACTGCCTCCAGAGTCCGACGTGGGCTTTCAGCGCTCTGGTGACCTTCTTCAGTGTGGTCGTCCTCGTCCTCGCACTCTTGTGAGTGTGCTCGAGAAAGAGAGGGGGAGGGAGAGACAGACAGACAGACAAAGATGGAGGGAGGGGGAGAGTAAGAGCAGTGGTTTGACACGGCCTTACCCTGCCATACCATGCCTCCGTCAATTTGGTGCTGTTGTGCGCTCTGCCCCCGTCCAAAGTAGCTCAAGGATAAGCGATTTGTTGTTGCCGGTTTGTTCCCATTCGGAGGTACTTGTTGCGAGTGGAAATTGAGGGTTGAAGGCGTATGGTGCCCTGTTGGGGAAGCGGTGGGCGCGCGTGATTATTATACGACAGGCGGGATTTAGACGAAGGTTGCGTAGCGGACACAGACGTCTTGTTTGGAGGCTTTTTATTCTAATCGAGAGGTGCTTTATTTCCTTGTCCCACATGGTGGGAGTGAAGTGAAGTGCTGGCACTCGATAGAACGTGGAAGTTATGCACCAGCCAGCACCACCACAAGAGATGTCTCAATCATTAGAACGACGACTTAAGCATTGCTCGTTTTCGGTGTCAGGGTTCCGGGGGCAGAGTGGGGCTGGAGGCTCCTGCGCGCCCTCCGCGTGACCCACATGGCGCTCGCAATAGCGTTCGTGCCCAGGATGGCCTTCCTCATCCGAACCCTCCTGACCATGACCAAGCGGGCGGCCACACCCGCGAGCGTTCTGCTGGCTTGGTCCTTCTTCATGGCGGTCCTCGGCACGCAGGTGTGCTGTTGCGTGTGTAATGTGTGTGGTGTGTTGTGGTTTCTTGATGAGCATCGACCACGCTATAACCGGCTGTTCAACGGGAAGGAGTGATTCTCAGTGCGGCTGAAGGCAGAAGTCCGCTTCTAGAGGTCATGATCTGGGCCTCCTCCGGGGGGAAGGCTGTGTTTGTGTTTGTGTGACTCTTTTTTCAGTTTTGGATCGACCGACCTGTCAGTGCTTGTACCAATGACAGCATCAAACAGGCGGTTAAACAGGCGGTTAAACAGGCGGTGTTGTGGTGCGTGTGGAAGGATTATAGTCTATTCCTCCGCCTGTGTTGTGTTGATTTCGATCGCGGCCGCGACAACCGTTCGGTTGAAGAGCGAATAGACGCCGGCCGCTATGCATTCGAATGCACAGCAGTAGCGAGACGGGCAATAAAGCGAATGCTTTTTTCTAATCGGCGGGCCTGCCACAGGGAGATCGATCACCTAAATAGCATATTTACTAAACGGGACTCTGTGTGCATGACATGTGTCACTGCTATTTTGCCCTTTGCGTCTGTATGTATGGCGCTGGCGGCTGACCAAAGGAAGGTGTTTGTAGTCCACGTCGGCGTCCACCGTAGCCTACCCTTTGTTTGGTGTACAAAACATGCCAATCGTTCTCGTATGTACGGTATGGATGTTGGTGATGCTGTTGCTGCTGTGAGTGTTGCATTTTCATCGTCGTATGTGATCTTTGGATGTTTTTGTTGCATGGGGCACGGTTTTTTTGTTGTAGTTGCTTGCGGATCCGCGGTAGCATTCATTTCGTCGTGGGTATTGTTGCCGACCGACCGACCTTTCGTCCTGCTCGCTTGCTTCTGCTGCTGCCGTGATAAAAAAACAAAAAAGATTTTCGGCGGCAAGGTATGCGTGCCGGAACTGGCCGAGGACGACGAGAGCTGCCTCGGAACCACGGTCGTCTCCAACACCTACACGGACACGGGGCTCATGTTGCTCAACTTCAACGATGTTCCCACCTCGTTTCTGACGCTCCTCGTATTGTTCGTTGTTAACGACTGGTGAGAGTTGCGTGGCTGCCTGGACAAACCCCTGGCCTGATTTTCCGCCGCTGCTCTCTCGTGCCCTGTGGCTCCTCTTCATGTTTTCCATCATTTGGCACGCTCGTGTTTTTATTTGTTTTTATTCGTTTTGTTTGCCCTTCCTTTGTCCATTTCGTTGTTTTTGGTATGGACCAGGGTCAGGTTCAGGTGGCAGAGATGTAAGAGTAAAGCACTAAATATCTGCATGCTATCATCCCTCCCCGACCAACTTTTTTGCATACTGACTAACCCCGCCATAGCTAACCAGCTTAACTGCCATGCTTGACTCCCCCCCCCCCCGCGCGCGCG